GTTCCCCCTCAACATCCCTGTGAAGATAATGAAATCCGGAGGAGAGAATGAGGCTTTCCCAGAATGACAGCTAAGAGTAACAAAATTCAGCCTCTTAATTTGCAATGAAGTACTTTCTGTGACACCATCCTTAAAACACGCAGTCAGCTAAGCCAGTCCTCAGGAGCTGGCCCACCCAAAGAAGGCCTCATCCAAACCAAACCAACTCACCATGACACATGTGTCCTAGTGTTTATTCCAGGGTTTTGTTTTCTTTTTTAAAATGGAGAGAGAGAGAGATGACAGGCAATTAATGGCTTCCTAGAAAACCAGACCAGGAGCAGCCCGGTGCTCTGCATAGCAACAGGTAAGTGTGCCTGCATTGGGTGGCCCCAGGAAGTCTGCTCGGGGAGAAGAGCAAGGGCTGGACTCCAGGGGGCACAACTGCAGCTGAACAGCGGGCTGTCTGACCTCCCCCTGGGATTTCCCAAATGTTTCGTGCCATTGTGAACTCAGTCAAGACTGGTCCTGAGTTTTCATTCAGAAAATGTGGTCACTGGAACCACCTGACACACCTCCCACACCTCCTCATCTGCTTGATCAACACTCAAGTTCCGTCTAAACAAAGAGCAAGACTTTTGTCCCACAGTTGAGAGGGCTGAGTGTGAAATCTCCCTGGTGGAAAAACCCAGTGACACACACTTCCGGAGTTACGCCATGAACCCTAGGGAGAGGGGCCGAGAGCACCTACTTCCCAGACTTCACCATTGTGCTGAGCAAGGTGCTGACGTGGCCAATGCCAAGAGCATCTCTGCTCTCCAGCCTCATTCCAGGACAATGCAGAGAGGCCCTATCTCTACTCCCTTCCATGTCGGGTATCCTTGAGGTCCCTGGGATTTTGCCAGGTTTTAGAAGCCATACAGGTCCTGAGGGTCACAGCATACCCCTTTGACTTGTGCCCGGCAATAACGTCACCCTGACTTTCGCTCAAATACCTGCCAAATAATTCCTTTCTTTCAGCTCAAACATCTGGAATTAATGAGGCCTTCCTTCCTCTTTTTGTCTTTTTTTTTCTGTTATTGTTTGTTCGGTTGGTTGGTTGCTTGGTACTAGGGATAGAACCCAGGGGTGCTCAACCACTGAGTCCACAACCCTAGCCCTTTTTATTTTGTATTTTTTACTTTGAGATAGCATCTTGCTAAGTTGTTTAGGGCCTCACTAAATGGCTGAGGCTGACTTTGAACTTTCAATCCTCCTGCCTCAGCTTCCCAAGTCACTGGAATGACAGCATGTGTCACCGCCACTAGCAGACTACGTCACTTTTACACTCCAGCAAGGCAGTCTTTATCGTCCTTTATACTCACCTGGAATCCAGTTCTTTCGAAATTCTATCCACTGGTTCTTTTTCTATTACCAGGACCTTTCAAAAACATGCCTCCTTCATCTCTTGGATAAGATCCTCTGCCTTTCACTTTGTCGGGCTAGGTAAGCTCGGTTCCTCATAAAGCATTGGTTCCCCATCACCTCTTAATGATCTTATGAGGAATCAGGATGAGAAATAAGAATGGCAGCCCAAAACTGGGATGGCCACCCAATCCCTGCATCTATACCTCTCCCAAGACCCCAAGGGATCACACAAAAAAGTAATAAGCTGAAGTCCAGAAAATGCAGGCTTACTGTCGCCTCATCCCACTCCCACTCTGACTTCACCTCTACTTTCTTCCAGAAGGATGCCAATTTTTGTCATAAAAGTGAAATTTCAGAACATCTTAAGCCAAGAAAGGCCCTCTGAACTGTCAAACCTACTCCCTTTTTCTTGCAATCTGAGGTCAGTAGCAGCAGAATGAGGTCCCATTGATGGCAGGCACCAGGTCTTATGTCTTTTGAACCACATAATTTTCCCCTACCCTTCAGTAAGGATCACTCAAAAAATAATCAACCAACACTGAGACCCACTCTAATACTGCCAAAAGAGAAGATCCAGAGGCCGGCAGTTTTAGGGCTTTGGAAAAGTTATAAACCAGCATGTCAGGAGCCCTCAAGACCACTCACAGCCTCAGTGATTCCTCAGAGGACTCAGCATATAGTCATACTCATGGCTGTGATTTATTAGAGCAAAAGAATACAAAGCAAAATCACCAAAGAGAAAAGGTACATGGGACAAGTCACAAGGAAGCCAGACAGGTTTCTAAGAGTCCTTTCAGGGGAATCACACAGGATGCACTTGATTCCTCTAGTAGACAATTGTGACAATGTATGGGAAGCGTCATCTCCCAGGAAAACTCATTCGAGATTCAGTGCGCACAGTTTTACTGCAGGCTGGTCATGTAGGCACCCTCTGCCCAGCACATACCAAAGTCACACTCCCGGAAAGGAAAGCAGGTATTCAGCCTAAGCCACATTGCTTGCACAAACAGTCTGGGCGCAATGAGCCACTGTTATCAATTAGGAAGGTAGCAACACTCCCAAAATCCAATTTCCCAGAAGCCAGCCAAGGGCCAGTCTTGCCAGCAGACCTTTCTAAGAATAGCAGACTCCATCTTGCTGTACTAACTCTGCTTTGTACATCCTGAAGTGGGGATTTAGAAGAAGGTCGGCCAGCCAGGCATGGTGGCATAAGCCTGTAATCCCAGCAGCCCTGGAGGCTGAGGCAGGAGGATCGTGAGTTCAAAAGCCAGCCTCAGCAACAGCAAGGTGCTAAGCAACTCAGTGAGACCCCGTCTCTAAATAAAATACAAAAAAGGGCTAGGGATATGGCTCTGTGGTTAAGTGTCCCTGCAATACCCAGTACCAAAAAGAAAAAGAGAGAGAAAGAGGTCAGCCAGACACAGAGGAGCCCAAGCCATCAACCCATACAAAGGACATAACATAACGCATGTGTTATAATAAACAAAGCAGGCTCACAGGGGATCTGGAGTGATCCAGTTTCATTCACTGCGGAGGTGAGCTATGCAGAGCCCACAAAGACAACTCCTGGACCTTAATCTTAACCTTTTCTACAAAGTCTCTTCCTCCCCAGGTTCTCCCATCTCAGTCTAGAGCACAATTATCCCCCATTGCTCAAGCCTGACTTAACATCGTTCTTGACACGCCCTTTCCAGAGCCACTCACTGCTTTAGTAATGCTGTCAACTCCATCTTCAAAAGGACTCCAAGTTTTCTGAGGAATCTCCATACTGCTTCCCATAATGGTTGCACCAGTTTGCAGTCCCATCCTCAGACCAGAACTGAGAGCAAGCCCCAGAGTCTACCCATGCCCTCGGGCAACCTGACTGCCCCTCCACCTTGCCAAACATTCTGGCACTACCCATGGTAAACCTCTGGCAATGTCAGAGCTTAAGGAAAGCAGGAATTTTTCTTAGCCCAGGAAGAAGAGTTTCCTAGCAAACAGTCCCACTGGGTGAGTAGCCAGCCCTTCCCAGGAATGGAGCTGCAGAAAAATAGTTAACTACCAACTACTGCTACTAACAGACAACCTCACCTTCCAGGCTGGGGACCCTGCTCGGCCAGCAGGCTCTGAGACAGTGTCAGATCACCATTCTGACCTGCCTGCCTAGCTCCAGGGGGGAAGGAAACCCTTTGGGCCAGCCAGGGCCAGAGCAGTTCACAAAGGTACTGTGCTTGAATGCCAGCCTCGCTCTCAGCCCCGCAGTTCAGCTCTCAGCCTCAGACACTGGGAAGATAGCACCAGAATCTATGAGCTGCAGTGAGTGATCCGCCTAAGACAGATTCCCAGGCTTTGATTCCAGAGCTGAGCCTCAAGAGTCCAGGCAAGGAGTACAACCTTCTATTCTCTCATACAGGCAGGCTGCCCAAGACGGCTGCCTGAGCCAGGCACAAACAGCCCTAGTGGACACTGGGAAGGCATCTGCTACCTGTGGAGGCTTGGCTGAAAGGAAATGTCATGTGCTTGGAGCTTCAGAGTCTCTGAGAGGAGGTAATGGGGAAGGAGAAATTGATCCTGGTTCTGGGTAAAAAGGACAGGTTAGACACTGTACTTCTGACTGGGCCCCCTTTCAATGCCAGGAAGAAGAAATCCACTGTACATTAAGGGCCAAACATCTTAAATACTCTGAGTCATCAAAACAACCCTCCAGGGTTTATTCTTTCCATCTTACAAATAAAGGAACTGAGGCTCAGAGAAACAGAAGAGACTTGCCCAGGGACCTGCTGGCCAGTAGCTGGTGAACATCAGGCCTGATCCCAGGCCCCTGAAATCCCAGACCTGTGCTTTCCACTCTAACATGCTGCCACATGCACTCAGTGAGAGAATGGCTGTAGCTCCTTCAGGAAATAGAAGACCCCGTATTTCAGACAGCAGAGACGCCTAGGTGTAAACTCATTGATAAATATTTTAAAACTATGAAACAACGCAAAGTATACCGAGTACACTCGAACAATAGGAAGAGATAAAGATTCCACATTGTAATAGTTAATTTATATAACTAGCATCACTTCAATAAAGTGTCCTTAAACATAGGCAATAAATTAAAAGTGGCCTTATAAGTAGGTATAATAAACAAGCAGTCTAATAATAAAATATACTGGGAAGCACAAACAAGCAGAAGTAGAGGAAAATCCTAAAACAACAGGAAAATAAAAAGGGGGACTAGACATGGAAGATGTGCCTAATTTCTAATACCTTTTAGGAGCCTCATGGTGAAGGAGCTGAAGAACACAGCAGAAAGCTGTCACTTCAACCTCCATAGTCTCCGACTGCCACCTCCATAGTGTCAGAGGTCTCCATCCTCGGCTGGCTTCACTCTCCCCCTTTTGCCTCTATGCCAACCACACCAGCTTGTTTTCACTTTCTTAAATGGGCGACTCCTTGTCATCTGAAGACCTCGCCACCTGTGTCTCACTCTTCCTGCCATATCTATCACCCCTTCACCTGGCTGACTTCGGCTCCTTCTCCAGGCTGCAGCCAGGCATGGTGGTGAACGTCCGCAGTCCCACTGACTTTGAGGCTCAGCAAGAGGATTGCAAGTTCAAGACCAGCCTCAGCAACAAGATCCTGTCTCAAATTTTAAAATAAATAAATAAATAGGGCTGGGAATGTAGTTCCTGGATTCGATTCCCAGTATCAAAAAAGCAAACAAACAAAAACAGTCCCTACCTCAGACACACCTTCCTCGACTCCTCCTCTGAAGCCAGTCCCCCCATTATTCTTTCTCTCAGAGCCTTATCACAGTTTGACCTTATGTATTTACTTACATGCTTGTTTGTTAATAATCTCTCTTTCTCCCCTACTAGGTGATAAACCCCATAAATGCATGGACAGAACTACTTTGTTCATTATCATATACCCAGAACCCATCACTGGATCTGATAAACAGAAAGCATTTAATAAAATTTGTTGAAGGAATGAATGCGTAAGTGGAGAAATAGAACCCTGTAAGAGGGAAATTTTTCTTTCAAATATCTCTCCACGAGAACCAGAATATACAAGAATCCATTTTCAACGGGAGATGGCCATCTCCTGTGAGTGCACAGAAGGGGTAGAGTCTCAGAAGCAAATGATCGGAGTCTTCCAAATAAGCACCCGGATTCTATTTTACTATCTCTTTACATATTCTTGAGCTAAGGTTTTAATAGAGAATATTGCAACTGGGAATTGGAAATTACCCAATGGCTTTCAAACCTGCCTACAAATAATAGGCCCCCATCAACCTTCTGGCACCTTCCTCACCTAGCTGGGCCACATCCTACCAATCATCATGGCTTCAGTACCATTTGCATATCTTTTTCTTAAAGTTCTCATAATATAATAGGCACTTAATTATTGTTTCTCAAAGTGAGGTAGGAGTGCCAGAGGGTGTGTGCATTTTGAGAGAGAAACCAGCGGGTCAATCAGACCTCAGGGTGCGGGGGTGGGATGTCTTACCCAGCTTGAAATGAGAGACTGGGGCCACACAGGCTGTGCTGCAGCCAAACGTACAGCACTTCTTTACACCTGGACATGTGTCATCGGTGGTGCAACTTTTAAAACAGGATCGTTTCCGAACAATCCTGGGACAGATTCTTTTCATCCCTGTAAAGAAACAGAGATGGCAACAGGAGGGAGATACGGTGCCCTGTAACACCTAGAAGCACCGCGTAAAGGAGAAGCAGAGGAAGGGTGTCACTAAAGCCACCAACAATAGTCAACACTTATGAAAACATCTATTGATATTCACCTTTTCCCAGGAACAACACATTTGATTCTCACAATTATCTCTATTTTACAGATGAGGAAACTGAGGCTATCACTTAAGATGCGATTGAGAATATAGCTCAGTGGTAGAAAGAATGCTTTGCATGTGCAAGTCCATGAATTCAGTCCCCAACACACACACACACACACACACACACACACACACACACACACACAAAGAACCTTAAGATTTTAAAGTTTGTTTAAGGCTTAAAAAGGTCTGTCTGCTCCTAAGAGAAATCACTGTCTTAAACAGGCTCCCCTTCAGAACTCTGCCCCTCTTGTGACTTACAGGAACTGAGTCCAAAGTAAAAGACATTGACAATCAGTGGTGTGCTCTTTCCTGATAAAAGGCAAAGAACTGGAGTGCTGAATAATAAAGAAAGGACTCCTGGCTGGGGACGTAGCTGGGTGGCAGAGCAGTTGCCTAGCATGCACAAAGCCCTGGGCTCAACCCCCCATGCCAAAAAAAAAAAAAAGACAAATCAACTTATGAGGAAAGGAGATCCCCTCTTTTTTTTCCAAAAAGGAAAAATAAGAAGTTCTTTAGGCAAGTTAGATAGCAAGAGCCAATCTGAGAAGCAGGAAGCTCTTGGTTTTATCCATCCCAAAGGCAAGGCCAGAGAGCATACTGGTATTGTGTCCTCCATGCCAACATACCTATAGGGATGTATTCTCGGCAGACCTGACCACAGCCCGTGCTGCAGCACTTCTGCCCAGGAGGACATGACTCATCATCCTGGCACAGCTCTTTACACGGGTTCTTATCAGGAGGGCACTCTCCCTCTTTCACTGCAAAAGAGAACAAAGAAAGTTGGGAAACCTGATTAGGCCTTGGGAAATGAGGAACGGAGCCCAAGAGTGCTTCAAGAACTTCAGCATCTCCAAGCATTCCTATCCAAAATATCTCAGCACCCAGCTTCTCCTCCTCCCACACAACTACTAACTCCCTTTCACCACTCCTAAAGCACCAGCTGTGCTGCACATTCAGAGCTGGGGTGATCCTGGTGGTCTCATTTAATGAGCTCTAAAGAATAACTGGAACTTCTAGTAAGTCCTGTCTCCTTGTCCAGAGAAGGAAAAGAAAGCCAAGAGGATTTACCCTTACTGTCCTAAGAATCTATTTATCCAGTCCTGTCCTACAGAGATGATTGTCTCCACAAAAGAGGAACCTCACACTGGGAGCAGGCAGGGGAGACTTCTCCTCTGGTCACTTTATGTTAGCCAGGGATCCCAAATGATAGCTCACCATGCTCTTCTGCTGTTACCCAGGATGCCAGGAACCCAAAAGCTAGAAGTGCCTTCAGAAGAAAGAGGTAGCTTAACATCCTGATGATGCTGAGGTTGAGATGTGAGCCCATTTCAGGCCAGAGGTGAACACCTTCCCAGAGTATCAACCAAAGAAAGGGCAGGACCAGAGAATCTACCTCAACCCAGTCCCAAAGTCTTCCCTTATGCAATACTGCCCAAGAATGTCTTCTCCTGACAACAAGAAGAGTGATTGGTTGGTGATGTGTGGGAAAATTCCTGACACTACCATAGGGCACATGTGATGGGGTGATCAAATTCTGTAATGCAGTTTCACACAGTACCCCTAGACAACAGTGAGGATTCTAGTGGGAAGCTGGAAAAAATGGAGGGAGAGTCATTGGATAGAGGATGAAGAGAGCCTCCAGGTCTTTCGAAGGACTTGGGTGAAATGACAAAGGGAAGGACTAGAGGCATGACTTAATAAGAGAACAGCCAAGCTAAGCAAATAACAAAGTTTACCAACATTGTAGTTCCTGCTCATCAGAGCAATCTACAAGAGACAGAATGAAATGGCCCCTTAGAAACTATAAAAAAAAAAAAACTATAGAGCAGCACTACTTGAGTTTGTTCAAAGCTAATGCGAATGCACCAAAACCCTACATTTTGGCTAGTTGGTAAACTCGAGAAGAGTTGCTATGACTCACAGCACATATGTCCCCTTCCCCTATCTCTTCTTCCTCTGTTTTTATTTTATCTGTCTTACTCGTGTATTTGGTCAGCTAGTGGTGTCCACTGGCACAACTTAGCACTGTAGGGCTAAAGTGAGGGAACATTAAAAGTACAAGGTAAAAATCTCCTTAATACAGCCAAAGAGTTTGGTGCAAGGAAGTTGCCCTCAATGTTAAAAGGCTGATGTTGGAGCAACGAAATAATTAAAACTTGTTTAATATCTAGTATGTTCTTCATATACATTATTTATTTTAATTCACACAATAATCTTGCAAAGGTAAGAAACTTGATATAAAAGTCAGGTATGGTGGTGCGTGCCTGTAATCCCAGCTACCCAGGAGGCTGAGGCAGGAGGATCTCAAGTCCAAGACCAGTTAGGGCAACTTAGTGAGACCTTGCCTCAAATTAGAAAATAAAAAGGACTGGAGATGAAGTACCCAGTATAAAAAGAAGGAAGAAAGGAAGGAAGGAAAAATTGACTCAGAGAGGCTGGAAAGAATGTTAATAAATGGTAGCCTCTGGAACATTGGAACAGTAACAGTATTATTTGAAGGGCTAGTTGTACCATAGTTTTAAGCACTTTGTATGGGGGGGTGGGATGTGGATCAGTGGTAGAGTGCTTGGCTGGCATACATGATGCTCTGGATTTGATCCCCAATACCAGGGGGGTAAAATTAAGTGGTTTGTAAGAATTAACTCATTACTCCTCATTACAACCCTCTAAGGCAGGTGCTATTATTCCCACTTTACAGTTGAAAAACTAAGTCACAGAGTTTAAGAAAGTGGGTCACATAGCTAGTAGGTGGTAGAACAAAAGTAGGTAGTCCAATTCCATATCCAATATTTTTTGGAGGATGGCAGGGGGCGTTTACTGGGGACTGGACTCAGAGGCACTCTGCCACAGGGCCACATTTCCAGCTCTATTTTTTTTTTTTTTTAAGAGACAGGGTCCCCTCGCCTTTGCTAAAGTTGGCTTTGAACTCGCGATTCTCCTGTCCCAGTCTCCTGAGCCGCTGGGATTACAAGCCTGTGCCACTGCCCCGGGCCCATATCCAATATTCTTAACCACCATTCCACATCACATTTGAACCCTGATCTTTCTGACTGCAGAACTCCTGCACTTTCTACTACCCGATATTGTCATTTTCTCTACCACCCATAAATGAATCCAGTTCTATTCGGGGACATCTTACCTCTGAGACAGAGCTATGGGGGGCCTGGGGAATGCCACAGTTAAGCCCATCCTCCCAGCTCATCCCAGAACCACTCCTCGGGGAAGAGAAGCCCAGCTCTCTGCGGGCAAGGGAGGCTCACAGAGCAAGACCCAACCTTCATTCTGCTGCCCTGGAGACAGCCCTGAGGTCAGAGCGAGGAGAGAGGCGGTGCGTGTTTGGGGTGGCACAGGCCCCGCTTTCCCATGTGGGGCTTCTGGTCCACGCATTAGGTCCCTCCAATTTTGGAGGCTCCGGCGGAGATATATTAGAAGCTGTAGCCCGCGCGGTGGCGCAGCCTGTCATCCCAGCAGCTTGGGAGGATGTCATCCCAGCAGCTTGAGAGGACGGCGAGTTCCAAGCCAGCCTCAGCCAGAGCAAGGCTCTAAGCCACTCAGCGAGACCCTGTCTCTAAATAAAATACCAAATAGGGCTGGGGGTGCGGCTCGGTGGGAAAGTGTCCCCGAGTTCAATCCCCAGTACCTGACCCCCCCCCCAAAAAAAAGCTGTAGTGTTCAAAGACCCAACTGCAGGTGTCACCGTCGGACCGTGCGTCCCCTCAGCTCCCAACCTCAGCCCGCGGACACCTGCTCCGCTCCTCCTCCCCCGCACTCGTCCCGGGCCTTGGCCCAGCGGGGAACGGCCCTGAGACACCCACAGTCCCCCGGAGGCTCAGCGCTCCAGGGAGGGAGCCCCAACCGCCCCACACGCAGGGTCTCCGAGGGCCCGCGACCCGGGTGGCGGTTCGGTTCCCATGGTAACCCCGCAGCTGCCGGCGTCGCGCTTTCCGGGCCAGTGGGCGGCGCGCTCCGGTGACGTCACGGCGCCACTTTCCGGCCGGTGGCAGAGTCGGGCTGAAGTTGTGGGGGCCGGGGGCGCCATGGGGGCCACTGGCGACGCCGAGCAGCCGCGGGGACCCGGCGGGGCTGAGCGGGGCGGCACCGAGATGGGTGACGCGGGCGCAGCGGGGCAGCTGGTTCTCATGGTGAGGGCGCCCCGGGTGAGGCCTGGGCTCGGGCCGGCCAGGGCCTCGGGCTCCCGGGACCCTGGCCCGCGGGCGAGAGAACGCGGCGGCTGGTGCTGCCGAGGGGTTGCCGTTTTCGCAGTCCACGACCTGGATTCAAGTTCTGGCGACGCCCTCCTGGTTAGGTGCTGAGGGCCAGCCTGGCATCCCCCAGCCCGGGCTTCTCTCCTGTAGGGCGGAGATGATTAGTACCCGCGACCTCGTCGAGTCGTGGCGAGGGGATGGTAAAAGCCCTAACGCGCCCGGCAAAGCAGCCTGCCACCGAGTGGGCTCTGGGTGCTCCTCCTGCTGCTCCAGGAAAGGCGGCGCTGGGACTTTGAGGCAGGAAACTTTTTCTCGGTTCTTTTTCCCTAGCAGCACCTTCCAATCACTGTCCTCCCCTTCTCCCCAAAGTGGGAGAGGGGGCGAATGGATCCGAGAAGGGATTTCTAGGCTAGCTTCATACTCATCCTCCACCATCCCAGTGTCACAGGCCTTAGTGACATTTGCTCCCTTGATTCCCACAGAACCCTTGGAACATAATGATAAAGCACCGGCAGGTGCAGCGAAGGGGCCGGCGCTCACAAATGACAACAAGGTAAGGCTAGCCCTTAGTGGGACTTACAACCCAGGCACAGAGGTGGGCGAGAGTGTTGGGATCCCCACTGCACACGGCTGAGAAGAGATCTGTAAACAGTAGAGAGCACTGGCCTGGGAAAAAAGAGACTCATTCTCAACTCTGTGTACTTGAGCAAGTCACTGATGAGTGACTTGCTCTGACTTCCCTCTCTGAACTCATCTGGAAATGGAGGGTAGAGAGGTGGATTTAACAACAGTATCCAAGATCCTTAACATTCATTGAGGCTGCACTTGGGAGCTCTAAAGACGTCAGCATGGAGGTTAAAAACACAGGCTCTGGAGTCAGACAGCTGTGTTGTAATACAGACTCTGTATTAACTGAGTACCTAACTCTTGGACAAGTCCCTAACCTCTCTGAACCTCTTTTTTCTTAGTCTTGCTGGGGGTCCAATAGTAATATCCAACTCAAGGAAGTGAGGGAGTGATTCACTCAAGGAAGTCATGGGCGTTACGGATGCCATTTATAATTTTTAACCTGGGTAGTGATTGGTCATTCACCATAATTGTTGAAGTGTATGTATTTTTCTGTATAAATATTATATTTCACTTTGAAAATAATGCCCACTTTATATTTATGAGAATGAAATAAAGTCAAGCATCCATGTGATCTTGCCCAGAATCTGAGCACAAGACTAGTGTTTAGTGAAAGCTATCTAGTATTGCTGCTAAAGAATCCTATGTCGCTGGGCATGGTGGCACCCACCTGTAATCCCAGTAATTCAGGAGGCTGAGGCAGGATCATGTGTTAAAAACCAGCCTCAGCAATCTTGCAAGACCCTGTCTCAAAACAAAAAATAAAAGGGCTGGGGATGTGACTCAGTGGTTAAGCACTGCTGGATTCAATCCTTGGTACCAAAAAAAGAAGAAGAAGAAGAAAGACTGAACCCTATGTCAGTAATTGGCTGGGCACACTGGGAAAGGATATGTTTAGGCCACAGCTGCTGACTCTGTCTCGCTCCTAAATGCAGTTTCACAGATCCTGCCATCTCCATGGACCTCCTCCGAGCTGTCCTGCAGCCGAGCATCAATGAGGAGATCCAGACTGTCTTCAACAAGTATATGAAGGTGAGAAGGACAGAGAGAACACTCATGGGGAAAGACTCCTGAGCAGCCAGGGCTTCCCTGCAGCACCACTCTCTGTCTATATGGCACTCAGACATCTCAAGCTTTCTAATTCTGCCAGCTACCCCCCAAGAACTTTTTCCCCTCTTGGAGGTAATTCAGATATCTTTTTTGCCAAGTTTTTGTAAGGATGAAATGACTTAAGTGTAATGTGCCCACCATCCTTGCTTGGAACATACCAAGTGTTCAACCAGTATTTTATTACTTGATTAACATTAGCACCATTTTTGTTAATTAAAATTACTTTCTTAGCCTATCAATAAACTTCTCCATAGCTCTACCTGCATATCCCATGGATGCTTCAAACTCAGTATATTCAAAACTGAACTCTGAATTTTTTTGAGGGGGCGGGGCTGATACTAAAGATTTATTTTTTTTTAATTTTGAGACAAGGTCTCGATAGGTTGCTGAGGACCTCACTAAGTTGCTGTGGCTGACCTTGAATTTATAATACTCCTATCTCAGCCTCTGGGCATACAGGCATGTGCCACCATGCCCTGCCAAACTCTGTTTTCTTCCCAAACCTTCTGCTTATGTATGTTGTTGTTGTTTGGGGGAAAAAAATTATTCCCAGCACATGCCAAGGCCCAGGATTTGATACCCAGAACCCATACATAGACAAAAAATATATATATATATATATATATATTTAGCTACTACCATACTGCCAGACACTGTTCTAGGTTTTAGGAATGCAGAGTGAAAATAACAGACAGAAACCTTGTTTTCTTTAAGCAAATATGTACTACTTTAGGGAATGAGAGAAGAGAGGACCTCTGGGACATGGGGTTGCTTTTTTGTTTTATTTTTCAGAGGTGCTATGGATTGAACCCAGGGCCTTCTTCATGCTAAGCAAGTCCATTTTATTTTATTTTGAGATAGGGTCCTGCTAAGTTGCTGAGGCTGGCCTCAAATTTGGTGATCCTCTTGCTTCAGCCTCCCAAGTAGCTAGGATTACAGTCATGTGCCACAATGCCCAGCAAGATTGCTGTTGTATGTTTTGTGACTAAGAAAGAGAAGACATTTGAATGGAAACCTGAGTAAAGTGAGACGAGGCAAGCCATGCAGACAAGTAAGAGAAAAGTGGTCTAGGCATAGAGAAAACGACAGAGGCCCTGAGGCAGGAGTGTGCTTGGCACATTCAAAGCAATAAGTTGACCAGTGTGGAACAGACTAAACTGGGAGAGTAACAAAGTGCTTGGGAGGTAACAAGCCTAGCTCTAGTAAAACTTTTGAAGCCACAGTGAGGATTTTAGATTTTAGGCAGTTGTGGTGTTGCACACCTGTAATCCCAGTGAATTTCAGAGACTGAGGCAGAAGTATTGCAAGTTCAAGCTCAGCCTCAGAAACTTAGCAAGACCCTGCTTGAAAATAAAATAAAAAGGACTAGGGGGGCTGTGGTTTTGGCTCAGTGGTAGAGCGCTTACCTAGCATGGGTGAGGCACTGGGTTCGATACCCAGCACCATATAAAAAAACTAAATAAACAAAATAAAGGTATTTAAAAAAAGAAAAGAAAAAGGACTGGGAATGTAGCTCGGTGGCTACATTCAATCTCCAATACCAGAATTTTTAAAAAGTTTTAATAATACAAGTTATAAAAAATATTGATTACAAGATGATTTATGGATGGATAGATGAGTACATTAATAGATATGTGATGGAGAAACATAATGTTAATTGTAGTCTTAGGTGGTGGGTATTAGCTATTTATTAAATATTCAAATTTTCTATGTATTTGAAATTTTTTAATAAGGAAATACTAATTAAAATTATACAGCCATGTGTGGTGGTTCAGACCTGTAATTCCAGTACTTAGGAAGCTGAAGCAGAATGCTCACACATTGAGAGTCAACACGGGCAACTTTAAAAGGCTAGGGCTGTAACTCAAGTGGTAGAGTGTTTGCCTAGCATGTGCCAGCCCCTGGGTTCAATCCCCAGTACCACATACACACACAAAGATACTTTTTAAAATAAGAGCCAAAAGTCACTAAAATTCATCCCAAAGATACCAAACTCAGTTTTTTACATGAGTATGTAGGTTGTGTACATGTTTATATACACATATACAAACTGTTCTGTAACTTAATTTATTTCACTTTTGGTCATGTTTTTAGGTCAGTGCACAATAGCGCCCCCTGCTTCTCTTTGTAATAGTTGCAGAGTAGTCTGTTGTATGGATGTTCTATAATTTAATTAGCTAGTCCCTAGAATATTCAGTTGTTTCCAGTTTTTCCCTGTTTCAAACAACACTGGAATAAACATCTTTGTTCACTTGTCAGACTATTTCTGGGGATAAATTCCTAGAGATGGAATTAGTGAGTAATAGGGAAAAAAGTCACTCTCCAGAAAGGGTGTGTTATTTTGCATTTCTGCCTGTGGTGCTTGCAGACGCTTCATTTGTGTTCTGATTTCGTTCTCAGATCCAGAGGTGGTTTACATTCACCCCATATATCCATTGTACTGCTCTCCCACAGGCTGCTTGGAAAGCATCCAGATTATTTTAATTGAACTTTTCCCCTAGCAATAATTAGCATTGAACACCAATACTTATCGCCAGTTTTCAGATTTTTGTTTTAAAGTCAAACTCATCCATATTGAGAATATAGCTCAGTTGTAGAGTGGTTGCTTAGCAGATCCCCGGCACCAGAAAATCAGTCAGCCAAACATCCAGTCATTTAATTTGGCATGAAGAATTTTTCCTAAACACTTGAGGTCTCAGATTCAGTCTTTTCACACACTTCTTGATTTGATGTTATCAACAGAGGCATTTGACTTTGCCTAATATAAGGTGGCAGTATCTCCCCAGAATTGTCTCCCACAGTAGGAGCATTGATAAAGTTTTCCTATATCCCAGAGAGAACTGATACTTTCTTCTGGAGTCACAACGTGGACTCCTAATGAATGTGTTTTCGGTACCTCCCAGGTATGTCTGGGGACCCTATTACCTTATCCCCAGTGTTTTAGGAAGTATTTCAGGCTCAAGTTCTCCCTCTAACCCAGAAGAGGAACCTTCTGCCAGGTTTCCCTTTCCTTTGCTGGTATCCAAGGGCCTTTGCAAGGCCACCCTTCTCCCATCCCACAGATTGGGGATTGGGCAGTGAAAATCCTAATAGGACTTTTCTCTGTCTTGATCTTTTCTGTGCCTGTTCACTTTAGGCACAAGCTTTCTGGGGTTTTTCCTCCTATGGAAATACTACATGTACATTATAAAAATTAAGAGGCTATAGATAAGCAAAGAAGAAAACAATCATCCACAATATCACTGCTGTTACTTAATATATTATCCTTAAGTTCTTTTGTCTCTGTTTTTTTGCTGTTGTACATAAATAAGCTTGTTCTGTACCAAACTATTTTATAACTGCTTGCTTTACTTGTCATTTTATTAAGAATTCATTTTCATGTCAAAAATATGTTCTACACTATCCTTACCATGATTTTTAATATTTGCATAGAATTTCATAATTTATTTAAGCTATGCTTGGACATTTAGGTTACTCTTTGGTTTTGTACTGTTTGCACATTAGTTTTTTGGGCACCTCTGTGATTATATCCTTAAGAGAGGAATAGAGGCGGGAGGTAGAGCCCAGAATACGAATCTAAATCTGTCTGATCCCAAAGCTGGGCACATGATCACATTTTCCTTCTTTTGAGAGCAGGATAAAAACTTCTGTTTTATTTTTCAGTTTCCTTCAGGTTATTGTAAATTAGCACAACTTCTGACCTTGTCCTCTGTTGTGCGTCCCTAGTTCTTCCAGAAAGCAGCACTGAACGTGCGAGACAACATTGGGGAAGAGGTGGATGCAGAGCAGCTGATCCAGGAGGCCTGTCGGAGCTGCCTTGAACAGGTGAGACCAGAGAAGCCAAGATATGCGGGCACAGGGTTCAGCCCTCAGGGTTCTGCTAAGAAATGTGATCCTATCATCAGTGGTATGCCCAGAAAGCCACTTATCTCCAGGGCTTAGAACTGTTGTTGACAGACAAGGCAAAAGAAGTAGGTACTAGGTGCCAGGTATAGTGATAGATGCATTATTTCATTTATGCCTCAGAAGAAACCCTGTTCATAAGGTGTTGTTTTTTTTTTTTATCTCTATTTTACAGATAAAGAAATTACACTTAGCAAACTCATGGAAGCAGAGAGTACACTGGTGGTTACCAGGGAAGTAGGGAAATATTGGTTAAAGAGCACAGACTTTTGGACTGGAGTTGTGACTCAGTGGTAGAGTACTTACCTAGCATGTGTGAGGAACTGGGTTTGTTTCTCAGCACCACATAAAAATAAGTAAATAAAATAAAAGTTCATCCGCAACCAAATAAATATATATATATATATATTTTTTTAAGAGAGAGCAAGCACAGACTTTCAATTTAGATGTGATGTATATCAGCGTGAGTGTTGCTAATAATACTTTATCGTGTGCTTGAAATTTACTAAGAGAGTATATCTTAAATGTTCCACACAAAATACCTATATAGTGATGGATGTGTTGGTTATTATGATCACTGTTTCATAATATAGGTATATATATATCAAATAATCACATTGTCCATCTTGAATATATAATAATTTCTGTTTGACACTGGTACCTCAATAAAGCTGAAAAAAAATTAAATTGGGCAAACCAAAAGAAGAAAAGTAAATTGTAACTTAAGACACAAGAATTAGACAGCTAAGATCTGTCTCACCCCTGAGGGTGCTTGGTGGATCACCTTCAAGTTGTTGTAGTCCCTTTTGGGATCAGGAGAATATAGCACACTTGCTATCTCCCAGCCTCTCAGGTGTGGTCAGGAGGCATGACATCAGGTCTATAAATGACTGTGTTCCCAAGACAATAGAGAACATCAGCTACTGTTATTAATAGGAATTGTCAACATCACCCAGATTCTTTGCTTTACTGTGAAACTATTAGCTGTGAAAAATGGAAATTTCTTCATAATCAGAGCCATAAGGATTATTGTGAGTTCACTCCTATGAGGTAATTGTAGTGATATGAAAGAAAAATGCCTTCTAAAAGGCTGGCTGCCTACTCAGATGTAGCCTCAGAAAAAAGCAAGACCCTAGCTCTTGAAGAGCAGAACCCCATCCTGTCTGTACAGAGAAAACCAATCTGGTTCTCGTGGGCAAGTGCTATGAGAAGTTCTGATACTCAAGTTTAAGCTAACCAGATTCCTAAGAGGCCAGATTCATTAATTCACTCCATGACTTCAGTGTGTTATGATCATGTATAACAGCTGCTAATAATAAGACAGAAATAATTTGTGTGTGTGTGTGTGTATTTTTTTTTTTTTTTCGGTACCAGGGGTTGAACTAAGGAACACTCAACCACTAAGCCACATTCCCCAGCCTTATTTTGTATTTTACTGAATTGCTTAGGGCCTCTTATAAATTGGAATTGAATCAAGATTAGATTGATGCTAGGTGCTGTGGTACACACCTGTAGTCCCACCAAGTCAGGAGACTGAGACCAGAGGATCCTGGGTTCAATCCCCAGTACCAAAAAAAAGCTTAAATTGATAAAACATTTACTCACTTGCATCCCAAAATACTTTCTTGAGTTTATCTCTTTGACTGATATTATTGAGGGCCTACTGTGTACCCATTACTGTGCTGCTGTGCCAGGCCCCAACAGTGGTGTGCAAACAGGCATAGTCCTTACCCTTAAAACTCTTGACATTAACTCAAGTAATCACACAGTGTATCTGTAGTTACAATCTGTTACAAGTGTGTAAGTATGGAGACAAGACCAGAGATCAAAGGGAATGCAGAATGCCTAAAAAACAGAAAGAAGCCAGGGAGGCTGGTTTAGAGGGTGGAGAGAGTGAAACATGATAAACTGGAGATGCAGGCAGAAGCAGATTACACAGAGCATGAACCAAATTATAGATATGGAGTCGTAACCAGAAGAGTGGCCTAATGAGATTTGCACTTTGAAAAGACTTCTCTGACTGCCTTAGGAGATTGGTTTGGAAGGGAATTTAGGAGACGTTTGAGGGGTTCAGGTAAAAGATGAACTTAAATTGGGCATAACTTGAATTCAATAAATGGTTATACCTTTCCAGTCTCCTGAATCCCCATGTTCACCCTCCAGAGCTGGCCCTTACCAGTACTGATAAGAAGCCAGAATATGGAGTAGAAGGCTGTGTGGTCACCATAGAATCTGAGCACAGGGAGGTGAAAAGCCCAAAGAGTCTCATGCTCACCCAACAGGAAACGAGACAAAAAAAAACTTCAAGCAAGTCTTTAACCTTTCTGAGCTTCAATTTCCTCATCTCTAAAATTAAGAATAAAGCCACTCCCTATAGCCAGTGGTTTGATGTGGAGATTAAATGGGAAAATATACATAATCAAAGCATAAGTGCATGTGATGCAGAACAACTGGATATTAAATACATTGTTACATTCATAATTACAGAAAGTATTTCTTACATCAGAGCTTAGCTTTCAGATGGCCATCAGGATAGTTGGAAGGTCTTTGGGGTCCACTTGTCTAAACCATATGCGGAATTTCTTGTTACATTAGAGATTCTTCAGTCAGGTGGCAGTGGTGCACTCCTATAATCCCAGGTACTTGGGAGGTTAAGGCAGGAGGATTGCAAGTTGGAGGCCAGCCAGGGCAATTTAGCAAGGCCCTGTCTCAAAATAAAAAGGGCTGGGGATATAGCTCAGTAGTAAATCACCCCTGGGTTCAATCCCCAGTACAAAAAAAAAAAAAACAGATTCTACAGATTCTAGACTGGACATGATGGTGTTCCTGTTGGTGTGTGGTGTGCCTAGAAGGGATGAGCAGTGGGCCAGGAAGAACCTGAGGAGATAGAAGAGGCAAAAATACAGTAGGTGACATGCTTTCTTGGGAATACCAAGCAGAAAATGCAGGCACACCACACACCAACTGGAACACCCTCCACCGGAACTTCACCAACCAACGTGAACTCCCCAGGAATCCCTGGGAGAACTCCAAAGTAGTGGGCGCCAGGCGGGCAGCAGGGGTCTATATACAATTGAATACACAACTTGTTTCAATCCAGCATCATCTTAATGGCTCGCCTCTCAACCATTACTTCTGGCAAAATGCCAGGGGCCATTCCAACTCCGGCTGTGGCTCTCAACACACACCAATAATCCCAGCTACTTGGGAGGCTGAGGCAAGAGGATCGTAAGTACAAGGCCAGCCTAGGCAACTTAGCAAGACCCTGTCTGAAAATAAAGTTTAGAAAGGGGTCAAGGATATAGCTCAGTGGTAGAGTGCTTACCTAGCATACAGGAAGCACTGGGTTTAGTCTCTACTCTCATAAATTTTAAAAATACATTTGAAAAATCTTGGGCTGGGGATGTGGCTCAAGCGGTAGCGCGCTCGCCTGGCATGCGTGCGGCCCGGGTTCGGTCCTCAGCACCACATACAAACAAAGATGTTGTGTCTGCCGAGAACTAAAAAATAAATATTAAAATTCTCTCTCT